ATACAAGATTTCTCCAATGGAATATTTAATAGTGACTGTGGAGGACCGGAGACCCAACCCCCAAGACACGAGGCAGACATAGGGAAGACCAGATCCCAAGGGCCCGAGAGGAATCCCGAGCGCAGAGCCCCAAGGGGCACCCGCACGGGGCTCTAAGCTAGCAGTTAGCACACAATGGTCGGCCATTTTTCAATCATCTCTCACAGCATTAAAGCACAACCACCCTAACCAAAGTCAACTTCATTTAAAGAGTTTAAACTAGTGAGAAAAAAGTTTGCTGACTTACCTCTATGTGCTTTCTCAGGTTAGATGGTGAGTTATGGAATGCTAAAAGGTACTTTACCCGTGGTAAACAGAGAAGACATTTGAACTGATACGTATTATTTTTAAGTCCTAAAACCTCGAACATTGAACTGAGATGTTCCCCATGGGTGTGCTGGTTTCTCTCCTTACGTTTCCTTAGTGGTCTCCATTGCATCTTCTTCTTCTTTTGTCTGGTTCTGCTTGAAATGAAAGTAAAGTGATGGGAGCGCGCGCTCCGCTACCGAGAGTTGAGTGTGACGTAGGCTATAAGATACGCATGTGATTGGTTACCTTTGTGATGAACATAGCTTGTGGCCAATTGCATTTCATGAAAAGAAAAACCGGAACAACGGATTTTTTTCTTTTTTTTTTTTTTTACAGCGGATTATAAAGCTATGCTGATCTAAAAGGAACGAGCAACGACAAGCTTCCTAGAAATGTAGTGGAGTAAAAAGTACAATATTTGTCTTTGAAATGTAGTGGAGTAAAAGTCACAAGTTCCCCAAAAAAATAATTACTCAAATAAAGTAAAGATACTCAAAAAATGTACTTAATTACAGTAATAAAGTAAATGTACTTCGTTACTGTCCACCACTGAAAACAGCCATAACTTTGTCATTATTTAACAGAGAAAGATGATCTTCATTTTAAATTCTGACATGAACGGGTGATAAGCATTCCTGCAAGGGTTGCTAAGCCTGTTTTGACACATTATAAACACAAAGAGGAAGGAGAACCAAACAAAAAGCTCATTTAGCAAAAGAAAAAAACATTCCAACTTGCATATAGTCACAGACTTTTATGTTAAAAATGTACTTTTTCTAACAACGATATGGTAATTTCCCCATTTTTACTGTAAAATATTCCCCCTATAGCCTTTTTCTCGTCACCTCGTGTGGGAAAATAAGTTGGTATTCATAACCATTTCACGTCTCCAGAACAGACCCCGACCCCGAAGGCAGAGACGAGCTTCTCATCACTCTCTTAATGTCTCATCAGCGTGTTGACTGGCATGCCTGAGGACACGAGGCGTCCTGACACAGGCACTCGCAGGTATGCGCGCACAGACTTCCACTCTGGCAGGTGCAGGCTTCACAGAGGGCCGTCAGTCGCTTCTTCTTTGTTGCTTTTCATTAACTTGTCTAATACAATCAAAGAGTGTCAGCAAAAGTGAAGGACGGAGAAAAGACAGGAGGGGGAAAGAAAGGAGAGAAACACATCCCTGAACAGATATGACTCTGTTTGTGCAGCTGTGTATAAAATTAAACATCCTTTTTTTTACATTTTTACTTCCAAATATCATCCTGTGTCTTTTATTGCTCTTAGACAACCTCGGGCGTTTCAAGCAGGTATACACAAAAAATATAAGGCAGAAAATATGGCGATGTGCTCTAGGCACMCATTCTAAACTGTCAGCTCATCATCTCACAGCGCTCTCCCTGATGCATAAAAAAAGCAAATGCTGCACTTAAAAGGTGATCAGGACTTTCAGTGAAATGCCACATCTTAATAAAATAATGTCAAAATGTATTTCCTTCAGAGTACAAACACGTATTTCTTAGCTTTCGGGAGGTGCATCACTCCACTAAAGGTTAAAGGGAAGATATTCTAATCAGGGACTCTTTACACAACAGCAGCTCAATAAGGTCAACTGGTGTCACAACATTCAGGTCGGAGGGAKGAATGTGTGTAAATACAAGTGTGTGTGGTTACTTTGGGGTTGTTCTTTATTTATTCTTCTGTTGCATGTGCAGGCACTCCGAACAACTCTCTTTCCACTCCTTGGCTGTTTTCCAATTCTTTAAATTTTTTTCTGTCGCGTCACTTACAATAAAATTACCAGCAGTATATAATGCTAACACATACACACACAAACTTGCACTGAGTTGCATGTAAAGTGCTGGTGTCTGATGGGGTGATCCGCCAGCCAATCGGCTGTATTGATTATTGGGTCCAAGGAGGCTGGTGGAGCGGCAGCAGTAATTAGGGCTTTTTGGTGTGGATTAGCCGGGAGAAAAGGTCACCCACTCAACATCAGTGGCAGGACCACAGGCAGGGAGAGGGAGGGGTGGGCGGCTGATGGGGACTGTCCCCAAATGTAATGACCAAGATTGGCAGGGAATGTAGATTTGTAGCCAGAGAAAGGATGATAGACACATGCAGCAATCACATTTATTGGCTTATCACAAGCCTTCCACTAACTTTTTGTGGCATTTTTGATCYTGTAATTAGTTGTTAAACCTGGAAACAGCTGGCTTTTGCTTAAAATAGTAGTTCAGATCTTTTGACGTGGGATTTTGTGGAAAAACTTCCTCACTTGTCAGATAACTCTTGAATGACATCAGTTTKGATAAATAAGATTTAATTCAGGACTGGATTAATAAACCAACTGCTTGTCTAGTCAATGAGAACTGATGTTTTGAAACATCATAGTGAAGCATTTGAATGGAATCGTCAACCTTTACATTACTGTCAGTTTTATATTACAGAAGTCAGTGGTCGTTTATCAGAGTCAGTTTCTACTGCTGTTTGGGGCCTTTCCAGTGAGAATAAATTTACATCATAACCAAAATAACCAAAGATTGGAAAAGTGACTGCCATATAGAGGTTTACTAAACAATGTTTGCATGATTTGGGCTGCATGGCGGCACAGTGGGTAGTAAGGCTGGGTATCGATTCAAATTTCCCAAATCGATTCGATTCACAGGGACCCGATTCGATTCAATTCACGATTCATGATTCACAATGATTCAGGACCTTTCATGATTCAGTTTGATTGATTTCTAAATTAGTTAAGGATATCATGCAGTAACACATTTACTTTGATATAGAAGACATTCTCAAAGGAACTAATTCTACAAATAGTAGAAACTAATTCTAACTTGGTGCATTGGTAAAATTATAAACATAAAGGACAAACTTGTAAATTGGAGTTTAACCTTGAAACAAAACTGTCTCAAGTTTCAAAGGGTTTAAACTAAAAATGAATTGCAAGAGAAAGTGTTGTTGATACATTAGTTTTTTTAAGAAAATAAGAATAATTTTCTTGATCACTAAGAAGTGATGGAATAAGGTTACAGGAGAAGAGGTGGGATAATGTGCCCACTCTTTTGAGTGCATGAAAATTGAATATTTGTAACGTTTTTGTTAGCTTCTGAGCAGTAAAACTTATTAACAAGAAAGAAAAAAAGGTACTTCAGCTAAAACGTTCCATCACTGTGAATAACATTAATATGTTTCTAAAATTTATAAATATCATTGGTAACAAAACTAAATGATTTTGTTGGACTGACATCTTTCACATTTTTATAAAAGGAGGAAACAGTTTCTGTCAGATGTTGACATACCGTAGTTTTGGTTTGAGCCGTTCGAAGCTTCGTTTCCCGCTACCACGTCCGAGCGCAAAACTTTGCAAACAAAAGTTGTCATGGCCTCTGTTATCTTTAAGTACAGCTGAGAATCAGCTGTAATGTTAGTGATTCCTTTGTTTCTTTTGTTTTGCCCCAGACAACTTGTTGTCGGGAGCTAACATTAGCGCTGACCGTCAATCGGATGTAAATCTACGGCAAGCCAGAAGTGACACAATACACGGAAACGCACAGCTTCATCGCACAAAACACCCGTAGGGGGAAAAAAATCGATCTTGTGACTTATAAATCGATCTTCCCAAATTTGAGCGAGAATCGATCCAGATTGATTAAATCATTTTTCTTTTAACCCAGCCCTAGTTGGTAGAGCAGTTGCCTCTCAAATGGGGTTGAAAGTTAGGCTAATTGGGAACACTAAATTGTCCCTAAATGTGAAAGAGTGAATGGTTGTTTGTCTCTTTGTGGCCCTGTGATGGACWTGTGGCCTGTCCAGTTTGTACCCTGCCCCTTGCACAGTGACTGCTAGACATGGGCACCAATGACGCCCCATGAACCTGAAATGAAGAATTTGGATGAAGACAATGCATTGATGGACGTTTGTGTGAAACCCTAAGAAACTTTTGAAACTGGAGATATTTTAAGACAACTCTTACAGTGTGAGCTTCATACCAGCTGCTATAGCTTGAAAACCCAGAGTCAAAGTGCTCATATCCTGCATTTAATTCCTTCTTTTTCCCATTTAAATCATTCAGTTAAGGTCTTTGTAAAGTGGAACTGCAATGTTTTGATCTGAATTCCCCCTTACTTGGATAGCTTTAGCTAAAATGTATCCTAAAGTCTCTTGCTGTACTTTCACTTTAACAGAGAAGTTTAGAGCCTTTAGCAAGTTTTTGTGTTCAAAGGTCTTTGTCTTTTTAACAACCTATTTACTTTCTTCCACTTGCACACTTGTTGCATGATATAACTTCATCAGCATGCACATCTTGCTCATCTTGAATCCTCCAGTACCTATCTACATGGATTGATCGAAGAGTATGTGAACTTTGCAGAGGTTCGCTGTCAAGGTGAAYGCAAGCAATATCTTCTCCCGATGATTTAGAACAGTTATCTTTATACAAACAGTACAGCTCACACACATTGCATACTACTGAGCAAAAATGACTCAGAGAAGAGTCAAATCTAAGATTTGGTAATGTGCAGATACAAAACTGATAGATAAACAAAGAAAGAAAACATATTTTCTTTACAAATTGCAGTTAGAATACTACAATATATGCTTGACTTTGGTCTGTGCTAATCATGTCCTACCTTTTCTTCTTTTGTCTTCAGACCTGCAGGTTAACGCTGCAGTGGTTTGGCAGGTCTAAGTGTATCTTACGAGGGCATGACCCTTTCACACCACGAGCAGGACAAACAGGACTGAAGAGCTGCAAAACAACATGGAATGTCCCTTTTGTTTTAACGTTACCTCATATTTCTTTTACCCAGAATATATCATTTGTTTCAATGCAAAGGGATATGTATGAAGATAAACGAATATTACATGAGACATATTATTTGACTGTAACAAAAACTGCAAGAGCTGTGACAGATTATTCTTTTTTTTTAGATTGATATTTTACAAGTTAGTTGTAAATGTGATTCCTTTTAGGACCACATGAACATACATTTCTGTCAACATCTACATGAACATGTGATTATTATCTGTACATCGCACACAATGTATTTTCAGTTTCTGTGCCTGGTTCATGTGGAACTAGTTTCTGTAAAAGAAAATAATAATAATGTGAATGATTAAGAGGGTGTCTGCTTGTCTGCATTTATTGGGTGTCAACTTCCCTTCCTCTGCTCCTCAGCAGCTCAGTGAGACAGCACACAGAGGCACATGAGGCAGCTGGTTTTTGTGCAAAGCTGTAGCACTCCTAGTGGCGAAAACACAGAACAGACGCTTCTCTTTCTGCAAAATCAACCAGACAGGAGGAATCAGCTTCTGGACCTCATTAGTCCGGTGCGGTAGAGTTTCTGTGTAATGTGCTCATGCAGTGACAACAAAACGTGCGTGCAGGTGTCGCTGTTGTTGGATGCCGCAGCACGGAAGGATACGTGACTTTTCGGCGTCTGTCTCGTCACACAACAACAACAAAGCATGTGCCTGTTGGTGTGTGTGCATCTGTGGAGAACATGGACTGCAGCACTGTGTGTGTGTGTGTGTTTTAAGTGGCACATCCGGGCTCGGGCTGTGTTCATTTGACTCGTTTTTATGTATGAAACAGTGTGCATGATTTGTAAATGTCAGCGAAAATGGCATGCCAGCAAGAGGTTCTCAAGAAGTGTTGTGTTGTGTGACAATAAGGGACATACAAAACTCAAAGATGGGTCGGAAACGAACGTGTGAGGGCGAAACAAACAAATGAAACCTATCAGCCTCTGAAACAATCTGCTGTCGCATTCCATTCTTGATAATAGACAAGACAAAACCTGCACGCCTCAGCATGAAAAAATATTTGACAATTAAACATGAAATTCTGGAAGCATCACCATTCCTGTGATGTTTTGAATACATTGCAGTGAAATTCAAGTTTCTACGACAAAGTTACAGCATGCAGCCAAGATTTTGTCTCTTAAGATGCAAAAATGTGTCGGGTAGTGGACCGTGACCCGGCCATTCAGAGTCAACTGAACCTATATGCTGCACACAGCAGGGGGTGACAGTCTTCCTGTGATGTAGAGTTCACCGGAGGGTCAAAAGTGTCACCGCATACATCACAGCTGTAGCAGAACGGCGCACACTGTTGCTGTGGTGATCAGCCATGTTTTCCCCACTCCTGCTGCGTGAAGCCAAAGATTTGTGCCAGTCTTAAAAAAGAGACCAGAAAAGGAGCGTGAGCTCTGTCGTAGGTGTGTAAAGTCATCGTGTTTATTTGGCCAGGCGTCTGCCTCCCTAATAGATGCGTGTGTGCCGTCCCTGTTTGATCAGACTATCTGTGGTCTCAGCTGTGCTCATCAGGAGCGCGTGGCGACAATAGCCCGGCTCGGTGTGACGGGAGCTGCGTGGCGTGATGAAACAGGCGAAATGACRGCGTCAGAAGCTTCGCTGAGCATAATCAGGCGGTGGTAGATGGGCTGTGCCGTTGGGTTTAGGGCCATAAGTCTGACGATTAAACATGCATGCGGAGGATCCTTCATCATGGGGCGAAACAAAGCCGCCCTGCCCTTCCCTCGCGCTCCAACATCGCCATGGAAAAAAAAGCCTGTTTCCTTGGCAACCAAGCTGGCTCTCTTTGTCAAAGGAATGGRGAAGGCGGAGGTGAGGAGGACGAGGAGGAGGAGGGGAGGGCAGAGCAGAGGCATGACAATCCACTCGCTGACCTCCAGCTAACCTCTAGGTGAACGCGCCATACGGGTTTCCTGGTTTCCAGCAATGTTTCGCTTTTAAACCAACAAAGCTTCTATTCGGGACGGAAAGCAAACATTTTACAGGTGCTAAAAGTCCATTTGTGTGTGCAAAATGTCAAATGGAATCCAAGGAACTAGCAAGCAAATTCCTGAGATTTACTGGTGCCGTCATCGCGCCGTGTTGACAAATTGTTGGGTCTGGGTGATCATAACTCCTTTCTTCTACCGCCCCCAGTGGCGAGGCGTGGCGGCTGTGAAGGTGAGGCAGAAAGGCGAGGAAAAAAAACGGGGCAGAGCGAAAGAGAAATGACTCGAGGCGGGAAATGGAGGATGCAGTTCCCCAAAGCATGGTGGTCACAGGCACACAGGCAGTCAAACAAAGGGAGGAAGGGCGACAAAGTGAGACGCCGCTTTTTTTTCTGTTTTTCTCGCAAACCCACGACTGCTCACGTGGAAACAGGCTGGCGTTGTAGTTGCAGCGTTAACGCTGCGTTTCCCTAATGGTCTTAATGACATATGGATCACAGATTGCAGCAGAAGTCAGTTTACTTTGAAACCGCTGTCGCCCCCCTCAGGGCTTCACAAGCAAAACATCATGAAGACTCTGCTTCTCAGTCCGCAGGTCTAATCTGGTGAAAATATGAATGAAAATGATTTCTTTAATGACCTGGAAGTTGTTTAAATCTGACTATAAAATATTCTCAACAGGTGTATTTCTTCTTTTGATTCACTAAGGAGCACAAAAAAAATGTTGAGGATCACTTCCTGTAGGATCCTTATCTCAAGACATCACATGATGATTGGTGATCTTGGGTAAAATCTCGCCATATGACATCTCCCCATAAGCATCTCCTTGTGGCATATCACCTGCCATTTTGTTTCAATTTGTCCCCATCACCAATATCTTTTTGATTCCTTTGCTCCTCCACTCTATCCACTTCTCACTTGTCGTCTGGCCATCATCTTCTCTTGGACAGTTACCGATGATATCAGCATGCTTTCTGTTTAATGGCTGTAGAAAGTGAAGCTAATGGGCTTTAAAACGCTTCATTGTGAATGCAAGCTGTCAGGAGGGGAAAGATAAAATCAGATTTGATTGTGTGTGTGTGTGTGGCGGGGGGGGGGTGCAAATAAAATATACATCAAATGTAAGGGAAGTTTGTTTCTCACGTCGTCTCTGTGTGAAAGCACAATAGAAACTGAATTAAGTATTTGCATTACATTTGCTGCTTTTATACGCCAGCTTTATTAGATGCCACCGGCTCATTTTTTATTCCTGGAAGTCTGCATCCTCACTTTCCTTCTCCTTCCAAACCCCTTATACATTTCTCCTTAGCAGAAGAGAGAGCAACACTGCCTCTTTTGGCAAAACGAGGTAAATGTGTTCATCTCTGGCAGATGAATGATGTCAAAGAGACATATTTATATTCATTTAGGTCTGAGGAGGAGGAGAACCCATCTGTAACGGATGTGAAAGGAACCGCTGCATGTGAACGCGCGTCGGGAAGGTGTGTGTCTATGTGGGAGTGTGTACGCTCGTGCGCGTTCAAGCATGTGTTCCAAGGTATCCATCGTTTGTGATAAATGAATCACGCTTTTGTGTGGGATGATTCCGAGTTTGTGGATGTGTGTGYGTGTGTACGTGAGTGTAACAGCTTGTGAGTCTCTSTGTGTGTGTGTGTCTGTGTGCAAGCGAGGTCATTCCCCGGTCACTTGTTCAGGCTGCGTGATGAATGAAGAGGAGAGGTGCCTGCGAAGCTGGAGAGAGATTTGGGAGAAACATTGTTCCATCGGGTTAAAAATGGTCTTGTGTTGTGCCAGAGGCTGGAACGTGGAAAAAAAAAATAAGTGGATGTTCATCATATCCAGGGTTTAATATCAATTTCACCAAAGTAATAAACTGAGAGAATATCAATTTTAGCTAATTGACTTGCTTAATGAGGGATTTTCTATACAAATAAAAACCCAAAACTTTGCCCCAACCTGATTCGCGTCCCTTCTTTCCTGTAGGAAAAATGTAGTGGAAATGCCTGTGTTTGGGTTGGCTTGGTGGGTCATAAGCGTGAAAGGCATCTGCCTCAACCAGGAAGTATCAGCTTGCAGGAGACAGGAAGTTGATGGACCAAACAGGAAGGACTTTTTTTTTTTTTGCAGAAGAGGCTACCAAAAGCCAGAAGCATTCGTAGACATCAGTGTATGTCAATGCAGGCTAAATAAACAGATTCACAAAAAACAAAAGTTTGCAAAGCATATGGAAACCTGTAATAAATGAGGTGACACATTTTTATGCATTTTACTAGAGTAGAATAGTGCCAATGTAGCAGGGTTTCCATCAACGTTTTTGTATRCACATTTTGAAGTATCACGTTGACGGAATGGCAAATTTCGAAAAAAAAAACTTTGAGGTTTTACGCTCACTTGAGGTAGTTTTAGGATTCTCTGAAAAAGAGTTAATGCACAAAACGGGAGAAGGAAACACATTTGCTGAGTAGGTTTTTATGTAGCAAATGATTACCTTATTTGATTGATAAGCTGTTTCTATTGTGAACATTTTCATGGATATTCCCATAGCATGCAGAAACATGGCAGAAAGCAACAACAGGTACGTGTGGACTGACAGCATGCAACACTGCTAATAGTTGATACGACAGAACGATTAAAGCTTGCCCTGAAAACTTCTCTCCATTATCCCAAGATATACGTGCTAGTTTGCAACCTCTACTTCCTGTTTATTACAGCTGTGCATAATGTCAACATCTGACGAAATTACACTTTGCGCAGACCAGTAGATGGAAAGATTTTTTTTTCTTATTTACAACTTTTTAGAAGTTCACTCAAAATTCTCATTAYAATTGGAAAGAGCCATGGCTAGTGATGTTGCATTGTCTGTTTGGGTCCTGTCCTGATGGAGGTCAGCTCTTATCTGAGTAACCATGTCTCCTCGTGTGAAACCATGTGCTTAGGACAGTGTGGTCAGGCAAAAGTGCATTGTGGGATCGATGTCCACACACCTCGTCCTAAATTATTCATCCTGTCAGCTGCCCTGTCCACTAACGCTGTGGAAACCGCTGACCAAGAGCTTTGCCCAAATCCCCACGGGTTCACCTCTTCATCCTACCTTCAGCCCTCACTTCCTTCTCAAATTCTCTCGCTCATTATCGCCTCCCTGATTCGGTCATTTACAGCCTCTCCTCCTACTTCCAGTCCCCCTTAGTTCTCCAATCTTTTCATCTGTCTTTCCTCTACTCCCATTATTCAGTATATCTGTCTTCCTCATTAGTCCTAAACTCCTTCTGACTCACCTGGCTCTTTCTTCCTCCAGTCTTTCTCCATGCTGGTGTTTGTCTCCTCTGCCGCCCTCTTGTTGCTGACTAAGACTCGACTATGTCGGCTTTGTACGATGT